CAGAAATCCATGGCATGGTCAGAGAAACACCACACCAAGGAGATGCTCCACATTTTTGAAAATATCTTACACATGATCTGAAACCCCAAATTTCTCCCTTCAAAGCAACACATGCAAAACAACAAAGTAGACATGAATATAGCGTGTAGCAGGGATGCACACTCTCCAGCAAACAGGAGCAAATATCTTGCCTTCCTCTATACCAGTCCACAGGCCTACTCAGGCATTCCTTCCTTTAACGAACAAGCCCTTTTTGTGTCTTATGGTTTGACTCAAACATTAGTTGTAATCACAGGAATAACTACCGTTGCATGTGGTATCATAGCAACACGGAGCCGGAGAACGCTGTTCTTACCACCGAGCTCTTTGTGGCTGATTCGACTAACCCTATTCACGCCGTCAGTGACGTCAGGTCGTCCCTGGCGCCTTTGTGCTCCGCTGCTTGAAAAGGGGTTTGCAGAGAGGGTTGTCACATCAGGTTAGAGTAGAAGAGGGTGCAGAAGCAATTGAGCAGGGGGAAAAAAAGGGAATGCATGGAACACAAAGAAGGGGGATCTGTGGGATTGTGGCACGCCTTCATTATGCGGAGAGAAACGTATTTAATGAAAATATAAGGAGGCATGCTTTTAGTGCTACCCCACTTAGGCACTACAGGGCTTGCTTGCACTAAGGGTCATGCAGAGATTTGTAATAGAGGAAGCTATTGATTGTCCTGCCTGGCCTTTGTTTGCATTAGCATGCAGATGTTTGGAAGTTTGACTGGCCAGTGTCGGGATGAGTCACGGCAGAGCAGGCGCGATTGATGATTTGCATGGGTGAACAGAGCTCCATTGTCATCCCGGCACCGCAGCTTCCGTTGGGGCCTTCTGCTCGCCCCGCAGCCCTCTGGAACAAAGGCAGCCATGTTTGTACTGATCAGTTGTTCAGGCATTGTTTCCCTGACCTTTGATTCTCCAGAGCTGACCCAAACATGCTCGTTACATTTGCTGCAGGGTAGATAATCAATGGCTCTAACTGCATTTTGATGGGTTGAGGTAAAGAAGTGCTGAGGAGGCGTTTTAGGTAGAACAAATGAAGAGGGGTGAGGAGGACTTTCTCCTTAGTGTTACGCAATTTGTACCTTCTTACTGTTTGCATTTCCTCACACTTTGTGTACAAAGGTCGGCATATTTACGACAGTTGTAATTTTTACAACATCTTAAGAAGTAGCCGCCTTTAGACAAACTAATGTAACCTTCCAGAGCTTTACGAGCATCTCTGTCCGGCAGGCTGTGTAAAAGATTTTTGGAGCAACTTCTAAAGGTCATTAAAATGACTTATTTCACCCAGTTTCTTCTAGCATACATTGACACAATTTTACCCTTACAAAGTAGTTTGTTCCTCTCCAGCCTGGTTGGTCTTGTAATGGAGAATGAATGGTAGATTGTTTGCTTTGGCAGATTTAAAAAGAATTACCAGTAAAGATGCAACTAGAATGACTAATCAGTGGGTTTTAGCTTAAGGTAGTGACCAGGCAATCAGAAACTCAAAAATCTTAACTTTTTCAAATTAGTAAATGAATCCAGGGGTCGGAAGGAACTTCAGTTCTGAGTTCTTCTCATGAACGTATTAGTTCCCTCCAATTATTCTGGCTTTCTCCTGCAAGTTAGCTTCATCTGCTACTCTGAATTGCCTCAGGATATGTGTTTATGATTGCATTTCTCTGTGGTAACTGGTCATCGTTTCTTTCTGTATTTAATTTTTGAGAACTGCTTCTCAGGTCATTTAAGCTGCAACTGTTTCAGATCTGCAAGCAACACAGAGTCATAAGTAGAATAAATGTTCTGCACTACAGCCAACTGCGGCAAAAAAAATTAAATGTAATATTTATTACTGTTGTAGAAGGATGTAGAAGTGTGTACTGTTTTTATTGGTGTTTAAAGACGGTTGATTTTATGATCGACAAAAACGCAGTCATGCTGCACTTCTATTTGTATTTTTTCAGCCATCGTTGCACTGGATAAGTTTAAAATGTTCATTCATCATTGTAGTGATTTAAGTTAAGCTACTAAACTTTTCTATTAGTGTTAGCAATAAAACGTATATTGGGATAATGTATGTGACTTACTAAAGATTAGCAATACAGCAAGAACATGTCACCGATTTACCATTAGATGTGTTCAGTTGTAAAATCATTAATTTATTTTGCTGAAACACTACAGTCACAGGGAGCCGGATACGTTTCAGCCGTGGTCTGCAGGCGATAAGTGGGGCAACAACCAAGACGGTACCTGGCCCCATCACAGAACCAACAGAAGGAACAGCTGCTTACCCTACACTCACACCTAACCGTGATTTACAATGTCCAGCTGACCTAACAGGAAACCAGGAAAAACCCAGGCATGCATGGGGAGAACAATCCAACCCGAAATCCAAATGGCGTCAACTCGTGCTCTGCCATCGCACCCTTTTGAACGCTGGAGTAACTTTGAATGGTATTCTCTAAAAAAAAAAAACGTTCATTGGGTTTTTGAATTTGTAAGGAGGACTGGTTGAGTTGGTTAAATTGGAAAACTGTTCTGGTCACCAGCTGGTTGGCGACAAAAATAATACAAACAGAAATGATGGGCTCACCATCTGGTGAGTATTATTAATGTACAAAACAAGACAGAAATAGAGTTCATTAGAACAGTGTTTCTGTGCTCTAAAACTGCTGTAAAAACAGAACTTTGATACGTTTTATCCTCACAAATGTACTTTTACATTTTGTTTAGGTTATTGGTGGACTGTGCCTCCAAGTTGTTTTCCAAAGTGTGTTCTTTTGATTTCTTGGTTTGCTGTTGAAAAGGAACGATCAGTGAAAGTTGCTCCTTTCTAAAATCAGACAGACTTCTTCGGCTCCTTTGTGCGACTGGAAAGGCAGTGACCAAGTGGAAAAGGTTGCTTGTGGTTTCACCATTCTCACTGATCCCCACCCACCATGCTGCAGCCTTCGCCTCATCATCATCATCATCATCATCATCTGCTCTCTCTCTGCAAGCAGCTTGTGGCCACTATCTCCTTCAGAGATAGAGAGGCTCTCAGAAACAAAGCAGATTTTGCAGTTACCATGGAAACTAGATTGCATCACAGCTTGCTCTTTGCCCCCCCCCACCCCACCCCACCCCCTCTTACAATTTAAGCACTACTCAGACTGACAGCTTCTCTATGCATCAAAAAGTCGAAAGAATAGCAGAGGTTGATGGGTGTTGATGAAGGTAAAAGCTTTTGTATGCCGAGAATTTGTTCAGCTGACGAGGACATGATTAGTCAGATCCGTTTGTATCAACAGTCACTGTTGTAGCTGATGGAAGAGGGATTAATAGATGCTGTGAGTCTTTCAAGACAAATTATGCTCCTGCTTCCTAAGGGACTCGTGCCCATAAAATGTCACCGCCGCTTCAAGTTGTTCACAATCATCTTCTAGAAAGACGCTACAGCTCCACCATGTGTTCAGGACACTGCATGAGGATTTCTAAACCCCAAGACAAACCATGTGTGTGGGTTAGTCCTCCTTTTTTGTTGAAATAGTAAGAAATATTAAAATTATCATTTTCTAATGTTGAACCACTCGTGGTGACATCACTTTGGATTGGTTCTTTTATGATTGAGACACTGGAACAATTATTCCCACTGGCTATGGATACTGTACAGCTGTAAGGATTTTTTTGCTCTTAGTTATTTTTTACTTTCAGACGGTTGCATAACTATGGTAATTAGGTGTTGTTTTTACAGCTGGGAGCAGCTGATTAGAATATCAAAAGCTCAGATAGCACCTGAACTGTGAACCCGTATCCTGTAGAAGTTGAAGAGGAGGGTCCATGGATGCAGAGCAGGACTAAAGAGTAGAGAGAGAAGCAGGAAGTTTAAACCACCTCATCTATCAATGAACTTTTTACAACTAATGAGATAATCGATTTTTTTCACCACTGCTTGTAATAAATCTGAGCTCCTTCACTTTTTATACATAACCATTTACAATTCTACATTGTGAACAGTTTACCTTCCAGTGAAAGCATTGTGAGGAGAAGTACCATGTGACTAAAACGGGAAGAAACAACACACTTTATGCTCAGAAAGGGTCTACAATGATGCCTCTGCTGTACGTCCTCAAGTGGGTAAAAAGGATTAAATCCTCTAGCCGAATACAAGCCGGTCAAAAACCCCAGCAGCAAATAGCCAATCATGTGTTTCCATAAAGGAGATTGTTGTCATGAGAATAATTTGGCCAAAACAATGTAGTTCATAATTGTGATGTGGAAGGGCAAAATATATATTTTTTTCTTACAACTAAAAACCATACATGCAAACATCTGCTCTAAAACAATATCTCAAATTTGAAACAAACAAGGTACCGTTCAACCCATTCATAGAGTCATAAACTCTAATAATCACGCACCATTGTTAGAAGTTGTCATTAGTAGTTTGCCATTAAAACAATGTAAGGTGACTCAGCAAGCATGTGGAAAGATGAGACCCATGTATATTCTCAGCCGTCTAAGTCATGTCTCCTGCAACAAGTTTAAATCAAAGGCAAGTGGACTTTCACTCACCGCTAGGTATCAAAACGTCTTCAGGGAAAACTGAGGAAAAATTCTGGTTGCCTTTGATTTAAACCTGTTGAAGTTTGTGTAAAGAAGAGCTCAGTCTTTTTTTTACCTGGCATACAAAATATTGTTTGGTAGATTTAACAATCCCACCTCGCCCTGAACACACCATGCATCCCTACAATTAAAGATGGTGGTGGCAACACGTGGACACTCTTCTTTGAAATAGACAGCAAATGGTTGAAATCAAAGCACATAAATATGTGAGAATAAGTAAAAAATTAAGACCTACAGGAATTTGAATCACTTAACTGTAGAACTAGCTTTTATATAGAGAGATTATAGCTGATTGTTTTAGTAATTGATTAATCTCATAAAAAATTCGGCACATTTTACAGATTTTCACATATCCACTTGTCGTGCTTTTCCTTGCAGGTCACAGAGCTGAACGAGCCGCTCTCCAATGAGGAGAGGAACCTCCTGTCCGTGGCCTACAAGAACGTGGTCGGGGCGAGACGCTCGTCCTGGCGCGTCATCTCCAGCATCGAGCAGAAGACGTCGGCAGACGGCAACGAGAAGAAGATCGAGATGGTGCGGGCCTACCGGGAAAAGATCGAGAAGGAGCTGGAGACGGTCTGCCAGGACGTGCTCAACCTCCTCGACAACTTCCTGATCAAGAACTGCAACGAGACGCAGCACGAGAGCAAAGTCTTCTACCTGAAGATGAAGGGCGACTACTACCGCTACCTGGCCGAGGTCGCCACGGGCGAGAAGAGGGCCGCGGTGGTGGAGTCCTCCGAGAAGTCCTACAGCGAGGCCCACGAGATCAGCAAGGAGCACATGCAGCCCACCCACCCCATCCGCCTGGGCCTGGCCCTCAACTACTCCGTCTTCTACTACGAGATCCAGAACGCCCCCGAGCAGGCGTGCCACCTGGCCAAGACCGCCTTCGACGACGCCATCGCCGAGCTGGACACCCTCAACGAGGACTCCTACAAAGACTCCACTCTCATCATGCAGCTGCTTCGAGACAACTTGACGCTGTGGACGAGCGACCAGCAGGACGATGAGGGAGGCGAGGGCAACAACTAAAGAGTCCAAAACCTCATTCTGCCAAATCAACACAACACGTGCGCTCACAAAATGATGACAAAAATAGTAATTGTTAAAAAGTTCTTAATTTAAACAAGAAAAAAAACAACAAAAAACAAAACGAAAAAAAAAAAAAAAAAGATGGGAGGGTGGGGGAACATCGGCTACCGTTTTAGCCGACGGTACCGACGTGGCTGCTGTTCTTTATTTTTCCACAATTAAAAGCGAAAAGATCGTAGAAGGAGGGAAGACGTGTTTAGTTTGAGAAATATGCTATGATTACTTAAAAAAAAAAAAGAGAGAGAGAGAAAAACACCCAAGAATGAAACTCCTTCCACGACAGCCTCTGCGGCATTTGCTAGAATACCGACTTAGGTCAAAGAGGTTCGTCGTCCATCACGGTGTGAATAACCATCATACTCACAACCGCCAGAGACTGATCTAATCATGCAAATGAAGCGGAGCTGTCTTAATGTATTCGAGCGAGAGGGAGGAGCATTCAGAAATTCACTCCTTGATGCTTGAGCAGCAAGAAAACTAAAAAAAAAAAAAGAAACGGCGCAAACCTTGAATGTCATGGCCTTGCTTAGTGAGAGAGAGACGGCGAGCGATAGCGAATGAGAGAGCCGACGGGTTCTGGGGAGGAACGTGGCCTCGTTAGGGATGTTAGAGTTTGTGGCGTAACTTCAAAGAAAATGTACCGACATCTTTAGTTGCGCCGCTTCGACGGTGGTTGAGTGAAAAAGCAGGTTATTTCTGCAGTTGAAGACGTAGAAAAAAAAGGTTTTTGTTTGTTTGCTTTGTGTCAGGTATGTGTCCAGCTCAGTCACATGGTCAGTCATACTGTAACTAAAACTGCAAACTCATACAGTAAAAAAAGAAAAAAAAAAAACGTAGTGCAGCTTGTCCCTCTCATGTGCTGATGTGCTTTCTTAAATAAATGACCTGTTTTTGGACACCTAACTCTTATTGTCAGTATTGTCATTACTGTAACATCTTTCGATTGGCTCCTTGTGTTTGTGGGGAAACGATTTGATCCAGATGAGCAAATCGAAAGAACACTGACTGAAATGTCTGTCTGCAGGTAACGCCGTCTTTTCTACGAATCGACGGGATCTCTGAAAAGTCGCATCCTGAACCACAGACCTAAATAACGAACTAATTTGTGAGCAGAGCACACACGCATTGTTAAAGCGGAAGCTGTACGAGCAGATTTGAGGTTTGTGGATTAAACTTTGTTTTCGGTTTCTTCTTGGTCAAGAAAATGCACTTGCCTACTATACTGTCTCTTCAGTGTGAGATGATAACCGCTCCAATATTCTCCATAAAAAAAAACAATATTGTGCATGCTGGTGATGTATTTATACAGTAGCTTCGATTTATTAACTTATACTGTAGATGTTATGTATTCATATGAACATGGAATTATTAGACATTAATCAGATTATTTTCTATTTATTTCTCTTTTTTGTTGCTATTGTTAGCTAGACCTTCTTTTAATCTGTGTTTTCTTTACTCCATTCGCTGAAGTGCGCTATACCAAAACAGTGATTGTTAACAATAAATTGATCTGTTATGGACATCGCTATGGTGACATGCATTTCTTGGTAAAAAAGGGGGAATTATAGTTCTTACTTACATTCCTTTTAGAGTATGTTTTCAGCTAATTCTGTATATAATAGACTGGAAGATCATTGTAAATGATGATGGGGCAGATGTTGGTAGCATCCTGCATCCAGAATGCATCTACTATAAGCATACAGAAGTATTTGCAGTAGAAAAACAGGGGCTTCAGAAATAGTTTTTGTTCATACTTCAGATTTAATATGATTTACAGAACAAAGCATTAAAGTTGCTTGTAATTTCACTCATAAAAGTCAGAAACCATTTCTTGAAACTCACTTAAAAGTGACAAAATATGACTGTTTCAATCAGTGATAGCTTTTAAAATGGAGGATATGACTCACCACCCAGAGCTGCATGGGCCAGAGGGGCAGCACAGGGCTAAAATAAAGAGAAATAAAAAAGTTTAGGCAGTGGCACCCAGGATGAACTTTCAATTGCATTGGCATTACCAGTCAGTGGAGAGTGGGAGGCTCCCCAGTGTTGTACACACTGTAAGGAAGTGCATTAAGCTGTAGCTGCTTTGTTGCAGCTTTCAGATTTGCTCTAAACCAAGGAGCTGTTTTCATCTTATTTTACAGTGGAGTCCAAACTGCATCTGGTCTTCTTTATCCTAGATAAACCCGAGTCAGAACAACATTCTTGCAAAGCCTGTCTATAGAAATTGCATGTGCAAATTGAGAGACATAACACAAGCACACAAGTTTAGTCTGATTTAAACGGACAAGTAAAAGAAAATACTATGCATGTCAAAAATGTTGTTTCCTCTTAAAATATGGATTCTACATTTACCACCAAGAAAAGGTCTGATTAGTTCAAGAAAGCTTAAAAGAAAATGGTTTCTGTGAGGTTACAGTTCCCAGAATATTGCTAGAACAGAATGAAGACTATCATCTTGTCAGTAACTTTTCCTAACTGAAATAATTACAAGGAGAGAACTGCATGGCTGTTCTTTCACAGGTTAGACCAACGAATTCTGAGTGGATGTGAAAATGTTACTTTTCTATTATTGCAGTGATGGAGAAGCTTTTGTCTGTTTTTCTTATATATTGGTACCTGTGTGTTTCCAATATGTATACAATATTCTACTAGAATATTAGTAGGATATTGGTACATTCTACCAATATTTTATTGAAAAATAGTAAAACTCACCAAACCAGTTCGACTGATGGTTTAACTGGTGTATGATAAGGTGTTCAAAGATTAGTGCACAGTAGATTATAAATCTTCCATTCATTTACAGAAACTCTTTGCATCCCCCCCCCCCTCCAATTTACTCATAATAAATCTTAAAAGGGGCACACACACATTATTTACCATTTTGGGGAAATGTGCCTTTTATTTCAGTAGAGCAATACAAATTCTACATGCTGGACCTTTAAATGCCTTAAATATACAAGCTTTTTCTGAGACTTTCCATTCACTCTGCGTTCAAAATACGAGAACGTATACTGAAGCCATGACTCAGACTATTAACGACTGACAGTTTTTGACTTGTTAAATTAAAGTGACAGAGACAGTGCTGTACAAACCTTATTTCTGAACATTCTCTAATGTTTGAGCTCATTAAATTGAGAGGAATACATTATTTCTTTGTAAAGCCACTAAGAATCAGCACAACAACAATTAGCACTGGTTTTCCGACTTGCAGCTAAAGCATGCTAGGCTCAGTTGGGAACAAACAGCCTTGTATACCATCTTTCCATCCATTGTCCATGAGGGGCTGCATGCTGGTAGCTAGCAGTCATTAGTTAGCCTCAAAAAGGCTAAAAAAGAAAAACATGATAAGACTGGCTCTGGAACATTTGGACATTATTGTGACAAGGATTCTTCATAAACCAGTAAAGTTATGGTCAACCCTGAGCATCCTCTGCGTGACACAGAAACGGTCTCTTTAATCAGATCTGCTGTAAAACAGACGGCTACAGCAGCTGCTTTCTAACCATCAGCATCTACAACACTTAGAAGAAAATTGGATAATATGAGTTACAACCTTTAATTTTTCCTCTGGGATTAATAAAGTATTTTATATGGCGAGAGGCGGTGTACACCCCAGGCAGGTCGTCAGGCAGCACAAATACACACAGGACAAACAACCACGAATGGCAAAGTCATGAGGAATGTAATCAGTTCAATAACATAAAATTATTGAATGCAGTCATGTGTTTTGGGGTGACTTGTTCCTTTTACCCAGCAGTTAATTTGGTTTATCCTTCCTGTTCAGAAGTTTTGTTTGCTTTTATTGACACCAATTTTGTTCCATACATGTTGCTAAGTCCAAGCAGCCAAAAATTGTCAGAGAATCTACATCAAGTAAAGCGTCTTACTAAGAAGCGCACATTAACTTTTGCAGTCCTGTCAGGATAAAACGGGGAAAATATAATTTTGCTTCTTTTTTAACAGTTGAAATGAGGGCAAATTTTTTCAAAGGGTGTCAATTTTTATGTCAGTACGGTAAGCAGTTAAAATTACTGTGGAAGAACAGATAATAAAAAAGTCAAACATTTTAACAACAAAAGATTAATTCAGCTACTTAATTTTTCCCTGACAGTGCAGACTCTTGATAGATTTCCTTAGAATATTTTTTTTCCCCGAAACTAAACATCGGGGAAATGTTTAGTTTCCCCGATGTTTCCTTCCTCTGAGGAAAACAAATACGTCTTTTCAAACCAGGTAATAACTCCCTGGAATAAACAGAAGATTGTGTCAGTCAAGAACCGTAATTTGTCAAATTAACTTTTCCGCTCAGCGAGGGAGCGGTGATTATTTTAAACGGCTGGTGGACATTAATTAGTCGCAGGATAATTAGAGCTGCTGCCACGGAGAATAAACGAGATGCCACCTGCTGTTAATCATTTCAGCTGCACAGGGGTGCGGATGTCACGCTTTTAATTTGGTCATTGTATGATTAAAATGTATTTATTTAAATCGTCAGGACATGATTTGTTGACAATTGAAGACAGTGAACCAAAGGCAGAGGCGTCGAGTAAATGGCGATATTTATGAAAAACGATGTCACTTACAAAACAGCCAGAAGAACACAAAAAGGACCAGGGTACATGAAGGTACATGACGGGGTTGAACCAGGAGGAATGAAAGCAGGAGAGCTGCATAAATACTAGGAGGTTAAAGGCATTAGCTAACGACCGGAGCTAATTAGCTAATGAGTTGCAGGTGTGAGGGTAGAGAGCGGCACCAGGGGGCGACAGAGAGCATCTAACTGTACCTAAACACAAAGAATAATTAAACATAACCTTACATATAAGAAATGACCGAACTGAAGCTAAGCGGAGGACAGAGCTAATAAAAAAAAAAGAATAAGGATAACAGCTACACGAGATTCTTTTTGCTCACAGTCATTGTTCATAGTTTTGATCATTTATCTGTCACAACAAATTTGAGTCTCGTAAAAATTATGGTCAGGGTTGTCCATCATTTTCTTGATTTATTTGCACCATCGTCTCCAGAGGTTTTATATCCCTGTTCTGCTAAAGCTCGCCTTCCACCTTCTACGAGCATCTTCTTGCCGTCTCTGCACACTCTTTAATAATTCATTAGTGCTCCCCCTGGTGGATCGGTTCTTCCTGTTCAGCACCTCAGGTTTATATGTGTGGAAAGGTCAAAAACAGCCTCATTTCAGTGAGAAACTGTTACAAAACTAGAATATGGAGGTTTGTCGCTCTGCAACTATTAGACTACCAGCTTAGTTTTATTTCTTAAGTCAGAGAACAAGCATCCTAGAAATTACTTGTCCTTAGATTTAGGAGGCAAGATGGAGGCTCAAAGTGTTTTAATTTAAACCTGAGATAATCATATTCACCGTCCCCTTCTTTAGCAGCTTTTTTAGGTCGTCTGCCACCAGAACTCCAAAACTACTTCTGTGTTTAAGTACAATGTAACTTTCTTCTTTCTCCTTTTATATAATTTTATGGAATAAGTGCAAAGCAAATCCATCCGTTCTGGTCATAATAGTATAAAGTTATTCAGTTGGTTGGAACTTTTGCTGGACTCCAAAAATGTTCCTGATTCAGTTTCTTGGAAAAGTGAACTGGTTAAGATAAGATAATACTGTTTGATAAGTGCTTTTAAAATTCTAATTTAAAAAAGGTATATTTTTTCAACTCTATTCCTTATCCCATTATCTAAATCCATCCATACATACTTTCCATATTTTTTTTATCCATCCATCCACTGGGATTTTACCGATTTGCATTACATTCATGGTAAAATGTAATGCAAAAAACTATAAAACCGGGCAGCTTGAGTCAGAGAAAGTGTGAAATTTTAATTCTAAAATCTGTGAATTGGTTGTGATTCTACTGAATTGCTTTGCGGGATTGTCTAGGCGAGTGGCTTTCTGGTAGGAATAACATTAATGTCAGCTTTAGAGCGCTCCATCACTTCCTGGGTAGGATTTAGCCAGGCACTGGAAGGAGGATTCACACACTTTATGCTTCACCTGGTGCTTGCCTTAAATTTTTCTCCTCACCAAGTATATATATAAAAAAGGCAATCACAAAAATTTGAGGAGAATAAAAAAAAATCTCCAAAACTTTAAATATCACTGAATTAATCTCAGGTTGACATTAGGCTGCTGGCTATTAAGCTCTCTCTAGTAAGCTTTATATTGGAAGCTCCTCCTATAAGACAAGCTATCATTACTGTTCATTCACCATAATAAAATTACAATCAAAACATGCAGAATATTAGCAGTATCCTATTAGTACTACAATCTTATCAAATTGTCACAATTTGTCTTTATACATCAAGATTACTCTAAGATTCCTAAAATTACTCAAGACTACTACAAGACAGTGCAATGACAACTTCTCCAGCACAAAAAAATAATAAATTAAATTAAGGTTTTGAAATGGCCTAGTCAAATCCTGAGTTAAAATTATACTTAAATTCTGCCTTGGGTTGACTTTTTCTACATAAAATGGCTGAAATAAATTAATTTCGAAGAGAAGTGTGGCCTGATATTCCTGTACAGATTGATTGCAGACGTTTCTGTGACTCGTTCATAGGTGCATATGAAGGGAGGTCTGTGCTGTTTGCACACTATGCTCTCTGTTGTTACAGAATAACATTTTATAAAAAGCATTTCTGGTTTGGCTGAGTGCAGGAAGTTGGGATCTGAGACGAATCCAATTAGCAACCCTGGATCATCGGTCTGCTTTTTTACACAGAGCACTCCCCCGGTTTACGGCCCGGATGGGTTCTGGATGGATGGGAAACGCCATGAATAATGCAGGCCTGCATTAAAAGTGGGGGGGGGGGGGTTGTGACTCACAGAGGAGGAAAGGTTGACATGCAAAGTGGTTTTGGAGTCGGGTGCCTTGTCGTAAGCCAGAGTCTGTCTGGTATTCATGAACTCAGCATAAATCATAAATTATACGATTCTCCGCTGGTAGGTTGATATTTATTATGGCTAATAGAGTCACGTGTTGTGAAAACAGCTGGGGTTGGTCTAATCCTAGCAGATATGTTGCTCACTACATGTCAAGAGGCATGGAGGGAAAAAAAAAAAAGAAAAAAACTTCTTTTTTTTTTTTCCTGTGATCTACTCTTTGTAACCAACCAACATGCTGGAAGCTTCGTGCATAGCAGAGCGCTCTATAAATAGATACCCCCCTACCCCCTTCCAGCTTTGGAGTCAGGAGTCGAGTTAGTGAGTGCATTAGCGAACAGGCATGCAAAGCGAATAACTGCAAGTCAACGTGGAGGAAGAACAAGAAGTGATGGAAACAACCAATCTAGCGATGATATCACAGGCTGCAGGTTTTATTTCACTCCGCTGCGAGACGGACAGCACAGCTGGCTCCACTCATGCAGCCCTGCATGCGATTGACTGCAACACACAGATCTATGGTAGCTGGTTCTGTCTCAGTATGTGAGGCCAAAGCATACGGGGCTTTTTCTCTAAAGAACTGCTGCAGAACTGAACCCATCATTTGCGTCAGCATATACGGGCACTGAAAGGCTCCCACTGTTGTTGATCAGAACTTTGACATTTCACTCAGGTTCTGCTTGTTGGTTTGGTGACGATTAAACAGGATATAAATTAGGTCAATAAATTAGAGGAGATAGATGGAAACACAATTCCTGCCATTCTATCGCTAGTATCTTGTTTGCTCCTCTTCAACTTTGTCACAATTTGTTACATTGAAACCACAAACTGAAGTGTATTTTACTAGGATCTAACATGGCAGATCTAAACAACATATACTTGTTCCTGTACAGTTCTGACTTTAGCCAAGATTGTATGCAATTAGGAGTATCGCGAAAATATTTTTTCACCTTCACAAGTGCTTGACATGTCCCTAAGAAGTTGCTCTTTGCTAATGGTAGTGCTGTGGAGATTTATTTATTTTTATTTTTCCAAGAAAAGATTGTTCTTGTTAACTAATCCTTTGTTAACAAGAACATCTTCCTGTCGTAAAAAACAAACAAGACTCACATTCATCTACCAGGGAAGCAGTCATGAATTACTAACTGGGACATTAGAGTCGCTCTCTGATCATCTTGAAGAACGAGAAGGTAATTCAAAAATACTTTAGTTGCATTTACTTTGTTGGAATTGTTAAGCATGCAAAAAAAGTGAAACAAAGACAAAATGTAGTTTTTCTTTCAATAAATGTGCTAAAAGTGACAGATTGTTCATAGAAATAGAATGAGGTTACACTTCTGCATTAATAGAAACATTTAATTTAAGGCTTTTTACACATCATGGGTGGTGTGAGAAAGCAGAGCGGTGCAGTGCATGAGTCAGTTTTTAACGTTTTTCTCAGAACCGTGATAACCTGAACCAAAGTGAAGTTCCTCTGGAACGAGGAAGTTAGATTTTATGCAGCTGAACCATAATATGCATTTGTCACGAACTTTCTTTCAGCTGCATCCATGGTTGGTAAAATCATTTAAGCAGAGAGCAATTCTCCATCAATTATGTATCTCTCTCTCTCGACAGACAGACAATTTATTAATCCCTTTGGGATTTTCCCTCAGGGAAATTGTAAACCCTGTCTCCCACACAGCAAAGATGCATCAAATACTTAAATAATGTTTTTTTTTTTTTTTTAGTATTATAACAGCCTGATTCTTTAGTCCCTCTGTTTCTGTTGTACTCCTGTTAGCCCTCCTTCCAGCCTCCAGTGAGGAGTTGAAGAGTTTAGTTGCAGAAGGGACAAAGGACTTCCTCAGTCTGTTGGTCCTGCACTTTGGAGGAAGCAGTCTCCCACTGAACCTGCTGTCCTGACTGCTGCTGACAGTGTGCAGAGGGTGGCTGGTGTTGTCCAGTTTCCAGTTAGTCTCCATAGTCTCCAGTTTCTGTAACGTTCTCTTCTCTGCCACTCTTGCCAGAGAGTCCAGCTTTGTACCGACCGCTGAGCCCGTCTGATTTGTTTCTCCAGGCTGGAAAGGTCTGACTTAAGAGATGCTTCCACCACAACACTCCACAGCGTATAACAGACTGGTAAAACAACCCCAGCAGCTTTCCACAGATGTTAAAGGATCTCAGCCTCCTCAGGTAAGTACATCCTGGTTCGGGCCTTCTTATAAAGCTGCTTGGTGTTGCTTGTCCAGTCCAGCTTGTTGTCCAGCCACAGGGCAAGATATTTATAGGTCTGCACGACCTCCACCTCCACCCTTCCTATCAGAACTGGTCGTGGACTGCCTCTGGCCCTCCTGAAGTCAATGACCAGTTCCTTTGTCTTGGATGTGTTCAGCTGCAGGTTGTTTCTGTGGCACCGGCTACAAAGTCCCTCGCCAGGCTCCTGTACTCTTCTTCGTTGTCTTTGATGCACTCCATGATGGCAGAGTCATCAGCGTACTTCTGAATACGACATATATGTACAAAGGCATTATTCTTATGCTACTGTTATGCTTTAATGTTTACATCTTTCATGCATTCACAAAATATCTGAAAACACTGTTTTCCCATTGATTTAGTTTCTTATCTGGAGGTTTTTGTTTAAGTAAAAGACCCTAATCTTAAATCTTTCAGAATAAGTAGCTTTCCTGTGAATGCTTCACCGATGTGCGATCGTCTGGAGCAGCCTCACTGACGCTCCGTTATTAAGTCTGTAAAACAACCATCAGGATGCATCTTGCTAGGCCTGAGTCACTCACAGGGCCTGGCTTGTTTCATTGCTCTCTTTTGCATGACTGACCATTGCATGAATAACTCAGTGAGAGGAAACTACAACATCGAGAGGCTTGATGTTTCTGTTACTATTAAACACAGCTCAGTGTGACTGATTAAGCATCGCAGTGAGGACAGAAACAGTCGATGCACAAGAGACCTTGTAGGTTTAACTTTCTTTATTTTCTGGTTCAGTGGCTTAAAAAACAAACAAACACATTTTCAGATAAAAATCGGTTGCTTTCCAACCCAGTGACACAACGTTATTGGCAAGGGACACTATCAAGTGGATTTGAAGATGCAACAAATAAAAGCTAAAATAATCTGTGAACGGGATCAAGCTGAGATGAGTCCTTCGGAGGAGTGTGGTCACAGATGGGAGAGGAAAGCAGGGGCATCCCACAGACCCAATTTGGAAGAAACAGTAAGATCCCCCCCACTTATATTTACAATTACCGGTAGACAAAACTCTTATATAAAAGTGTGTGTGTGTCGCTGAGTCACTGGCATGATGATTGAGAGAGGTCAAGGCCGGCTCTTCTTTCTACTTCTTGGCCACAGCTGCTGAGCTCTCCACGTTTACAGGAATGGTGGTCTCGGAGTACTCCAGGGCCGGCTTGTTGATCGGAGCCTCCACAGTCAGGACGCCCTCAGGGGACAGGGAGGACGTCACCTTCTCGATGTTGGCAGTAGGGGGTAGACTGGAGGGGAGCAAAAAGGACACAGTCAAGTTTTGGGGTCTCAAAAATCTTTTCACATTTTGCCCCCTTACATCCCAACCTTCAGGGTATTTTATTTATTTATTTATTTATTTTTTTTACGGATGAAAATCATGTGGGATTGGTGTCATCCCACTTTATTCTGCTGCCCCTAAATAAAATGCAGAGCTATTAAATACTTTTAGAGGTAAACAACATACAATATTATGCAATCCTGCAAACAAATATCTTTGTCAGAAAACTAACTTTGCAGTACAGTGAACTTTAATTGAAATGTGACACCAATAAAGGGCTACAGATACTTCTGCGCGGTACCTATTTAAATAATTTAAAAAGAAATGCAGAGACCTTTGATACAAGAACAACGAGAGCAGTCAACACTTCACTATGCAATATATTAAAAGCAGTATTGTGTTACAGCCTGCAGGTGGCAGCAGAGCTCTGATAAACTATAGATTCGCACAGTCAGGTGTTGTCCGCCAGGAGGCCTGACATCTAATAAATCAGTTATAAACTCGGACAAATCTAAAAGTAGACAGACTTTACAGCAGCAGAGGTTCCTTTTATTTTAACTAAAACGATCAGTCTTTAAAAAAAAACAAAAAAAAACATGAGCTTTGATTTTGTTGTCGGCTTGTTGCTTTATATTTTAATTATGTCATTATTTTAGATTACAAAGTAGAAAAACAACAACCTCGAAACAAAACAGGTTAGTGCTGAATCACCCGGTTCTTAATTACTGATAGTTAAAAGTTACTTACGTGTATTTTCTGGTAAAGCTTCTTGACACAAAACCATGTTCGTCCTTCCTCTCTTCATGCTTGCCTGTGAAACCGACAGCATAATTAGCATTTCGTTAGCTTAATTGTGTATTTTCACCATGTAATTAATGACATTCAAATGGTAAATTCTGTTTAATTTTGCTATTCAGATAGTTTTTCTAGTATTGAATGAAATCTACAAACCATGTCTTCACAAGGAGGGTTGAAGACATAATTAAGGAAATTAGCGTAAGCTGTATCTCCTGTTTTTAAACCATGAATTTATGAGATTAGTGCGACAGCCCTGGTTCTTCTACAGCTGCAAACTTTAAAACTTGGTGATAGAAAGATGTTTTATTGCCTATGTAGCTCTTTTAGTTATATGTCAGTGACCGTACCTAAACTTTAACCTTTGGAGTACTCTGGCATTTTCTGGAGTATTCAGGCTGAAGCTAATGGAAGCTAATCGATAACCAATAATTCACTAGCAAATTCTCTCTAAAAAAACGAGTTACTAGGGGACATTTTAGCACGTAAAAGAGGAATAGAAGGAGAAAAACTACACTTTAGGGGTTTTTGGTGGTGGTAGTGGAGGTTGAATTTAGACTTGCTATTTGTTTTAGTGTCTACACTATGCTAACACATTGTTGTAAGCAGGATTTGATCTCTTAATTAAAGGTCTGTCATAAAAATGAAGAAGAAGAAAACGTGAGCTACTGCAATTACATTTTGGTTAACACTTTTATTTGCTTTGTGTTGAAGTGTCACAAAAATATCTACTCCAGTTGGTAAGGCTACAGGCACTGAATAGTTTCTAAGCAGAACTGAAAAGGACCTTTGTCTTTTGGGTTTTGGGTTACCTTCAGTGGTATTCAGAAATTGTATTGCCAAACATTTACAATTTTTGAATACAAAACTGATTAATTGTTAGAAGGCAAGAAAAGTAATTTAAGAAAAAAAAAACCTTCAAAAACTGCAGTGGAGAATATTTTGCTAAAATGGGAGCAGACAGGATGCAGAACAGTGTGTCAAGGCACAAGCTAATCACTAGCAAAATAGGCTGGTGAATGTGCATTTTTTAAATTTTATGTGTTGAAGCTATGAAACTCACATAGTGCAATCTCTTGAAAAGATTTTGTAACGTCAGAAGTAAGCAAGCAACTTATTAGAGCAGCTTTTGCTATGTTTTTAAATGTGTGGCAGCCATATTGGTTTTTCAGGTCAGCCCAGGTGAGAAACCTTTGACTTTCTTTTGGAAATTAACTTGGGAGGAACTTCCTGTTTTATTTGTCGAATATGGAACATGGAAATGTTCCATATTCGACAAATATGGAACATTAGAGTAACCTTATACTGCCAGTGGAGGAGATGATGTTTTGGCCTTAATTTCATGTCTGTCAAAAATATATTTACAAAATTAGTACAAGGTCTGAGATTAACTGGTTTAGTCCTTAGCACTCTAAGGAATGTTAGATATTACTATTTTCAATAGTAATATTCATATCATCTTGTTCATAAAGGCCTTTGCATTGTTATTATTACTATCAGAAGAAGAAAAAGTGGTTTTGGCATTGCATGTCTGTCTTTGTTGCTTAAACGCTGCCCCTGTTTCATGTTTGTTTACTGTAAGGAGCAGATAAAGGCTGCTGACCTCAGACTCATATCTTCTCAACAGGACCAAACTGCTTGATATAAACACACAGCTACAGCTCAGCTTCTTTAGCAGCCATTAGTTGTGAACAGGCCTGCACCAGCTGAGGAGATAATACTTTAGTGTGTGGAAAAACAATTCTAATTAAGCTGATGATGTGAACGTTTAGACATGAGGTGCCAAATTCCCCTCGCATTGAATCACATGCTTTGTTTATCTCTGTTTTCCTGACCCGGTTCAGTGTCTAACACCAGCGAGGCTGGCAGTGAGGGAGTGGGATGGGATCCAGCTGTCCTTTTAAAGTAGCAGATAGCCGTCATGACTCACAGCTAAGTCGCTTTGCTATGAAGATGGTCCTTTTGGTAATGCCATACCGGCGGCGGAGGGTACAAGGCTTCGGAGATCAAGGTTATTACAGGATCTTACATCAGCTTTCAGTTTGCTTTAGTGTTTTGGGATGATGGAAGGGGAGTGAAAATAGCTTTTTCCATAGCTGACCTGCTTAACTGTCTACCACAAACTGCATATTGTCTATCTATGGGCTTCTATCCCTCATGTCGGGGGGGCAGAATACATCTTGAGACAATATGCTGAGGTGAAATCATGACAGGGTTGGTTAGATATTACAGTTTTGCTCTGCATATCTGTTAGTGGTTGCAAAAGTTTCCTCCCACAAGTTGAACTGTGTGTTGTGATGTATTTAGAAGCATATCGGCCAAAATGCCCCTCCCTTCCATTGGGGCGGGGTGTCCTGAGACAATATCCTGAGTTCTGCTTATCCTGCAACTGGAATCTTATCCTAAGTCTTAAAGGAAAGTATTGTCCTCCTGCAGTTTAACCTCTTGTAATTCTTGCTTTTCCAACTCCTCGCATCTTTCTCTGTGAAGGAAACTTTTAAAACAAACATGCTCAAAAGAAGGAAGGAAGGAACAAGTGCTCACCAGAAATTTCCAAAACGCCGTCCTTGGTCTTCACCACCAGCTCCTCAGGTGAGAAATGGGGGACGTCCAGGGAGATCTTCCAGTTGTCCTGCGTCTGCTTGATCTCGGACATCCCGCTGCTCATCTGCCGGGACAGGGTCCTGGCTTGGTGGGCCATCATGTGGCCCGGGTGGTACATCATGGGGCCATGGGGCATCATGATGTCCGGGCCCATGAGCGATGGTCTCATGTACCCGGGCCAGTGGGTGGTGGGGAACCCAGAGAAGTCCTCGAAGACGGGCGGGAGGCCGAACGCCTGGTCGAAGATGCGGCTGGTTTGGTCCCGGAACGGGTCCCAGCTCGGGGTGCGCTGCAAGGTGAAGGGAATGCGTCTCTCGGCCATGCTGGCTGCGGTCAGTCAGAGGAGGTGTGTCTGGAGACGGAAAGCTCCCAACATGCTCCCTGCCTCTCAGCACAGCACCTTTATACGCTCTGAGATTCCAGCCCCCTGCCGTCAAAACATCCCACCCACTCGAGCCCCACCGGCACACCTCCCCCAAGATGTCTTGGAAAGTGCTGGAACCTCTATTTGTGGCAGACGCAGCATGTAAATAGAATCCAACAGGAGGGCGGTGCGTAGCGTCAGCTGCTGGGGCCTCTGTGGAAATCCTGTGAGTAAACCCCTCCCCTCTCTGTTCTTCTGAAAGAAGCTAGAAAAAGCTAGAGGGAAACGGGATTGTTCTGGGAGGAACTGGATAAGTTTGCATTATTGACTGAGGGACAGAATTTACCTGCATAAACTGCAAATAAATAACAACAATGAAGCCTTTTTAAAGCTAAAATATAAAACATATCAATGGAAAGAAAAAGGAGGGATGCATCGTATTCATTTCCATTGCATTGCTCTACAGACTCAATACACTTTATTCAAAGTTTATGTTGTAAACAAACTCAAAGTAGTGCATAAAAATTCACCTAACAAGTGTTGGTGGAGATGACAGCTTGCGTGTTGCAGTATCTCACACAAGAACTTTATTTTGTCCAACAGAAATCAAGGCTTAAAATCCACCAGTTTACGCCTAACTTTGATAAGTGGAACAATGACAAAATGTAATGTTTGTTTGACAAAATTGACAAATATATGCTGTAAAACCTTAAGAAAACGTTTCCCCACTGTGTGTTAACCAGTTCTTCCGGTCAGAATTCTTTGAAAATTGCAAAGAATGACACAGAAGTGGACCCACCCCAACCGCCCTCTCTCAAACCGTGACCTATGACCCAGAGGAGGGTTTGGTAACAGCTTATGGCACTATTACAGGATATGAAGTGATGGCAGCTATGATGACCCACCTCATATCTGTCTCTCCATTCCAGGATACATCTGGAAAAAGTTTATTTTGTCTTGAATGTAGGTTAGTAACGGACATGAAGAGCTTGTCCTGTGTATTATTACACTCAGATATAAAGAGTTTAATCTATAAACCTGGTAACTGATCCTCATTGGAGCGTTCGACCTGCTCTGGACTGAGGCTTCACAGAACTGTGGGAGGAAGGGATCTCCAGTAGCAGTCAGTCTTTCAGTGGACTGAAGAGGCCTCTGACTGAAGACTGCTGCATTATTACAGTCTCATGAAATGCTAACAGCTCAATTTCTAGGCAGCAGAGACAATATTCTGCAATAGGGACAATATTCATCGTGGATGAAACCATCTGTTGTTGGTAAGATCTACTAATCCTCCTCATTTGCTTTTGCTGCTCCCCTTTAAATATCTTTATGGTTGTTTGGTAAAAAAGCCGGACAGAGAGACGATGGAGTTGGCGATGTGATCCTCACCTTTTTTGATCCTTTGATTTGACCTGTTTGAGTTTTTGATCTTGTGTTTTATGTAAACCTGAACATTTTCCCCCCCACACTGGGTTTCAAAATGTAATAAAACATAATTAAAAACACATTATGTAATAATCGACATGACATGTAATTCGCCAGAAAGCATTGCAAAATACGTTCAGGGATTTTATTACATTTTGCATTGATTTTTACATAATGCACTTTAATGATATTACATTTTGAAGCCCATTTTTATTACATCATAAATAATTCATTTTGAGTTTTTCTAATCACACTTTTCATCCTCAGTACCTTCTTTAGCAGTTTGGGCTTCGGTAGCAGGGATTCCCCACCGTTTCCTTGTCGGACTGCTCTTCAGGCTGAGAATACCTGCATGTTCGCTCACTACCACCAACTAGCATGTGCCACGAAGAAGAGGTAATCAGCATAACGTTATGCCTTGAGAAATGTAAAACAAAAGAGGAAATGCATAACGCAAGAGTTTGATTGATTCCTCATTTGTTTATTACCATGGAGCTCAGTTTATACAATACAAAGAATGATCTGAACAAAAGGGGAAATGATATACTTGACACACCGGCTGGGTTAAGTCTGCTTACACTAAGAGCTGTAAGGATGAGAGGAAAAAGACTCCGCGAATGGAAAGGAAGACTTAAGTGATTGCATCACCGGTTTACTCGCTGTCCTACAGACGATGCTGCAGTTGCCGTTTTGTCATGGTACATCTTCAGTTGATGGACGTAACTAGCCGACCTTCGGGACGGTGTAAATATGACGTGGAGTTTTCTGTTGGGGATCAAAATGCTCCACCAGAGCTCAAACAGGAAGATCGAGCTTCTTCTCTCATTCAGTTGAAGCAAAAAAAAAAAAAAAAAAAAGACGGGCCTGGAGTCCAAACAGGCTTGTTGTAGAATAATTCACTAAGCATCAAGTCTGCACTCCCGTTTCAAAGTCAGCCCTCGTTCCCTTGTTTTTTTACTTCATTGCTTTTTGGTCAACCACTTGTATGTAAACCAAAACGGTCTCGTTTGATCACATCCTAATGCATGATCCATCTGCATTAGCGACAAAATGTAGAATAAATTAAACATCAAATAAATAAATAAATAATCCAATAAATAAACATATAAACAGGATAAACTCGAGATGAAAACATACGTGTGCCTGGACATAATCTTGCAGTTTTCCTTTAGAGCAGCCCGAGATAAGGCTACAGAGCACTCGCTGATCTTTGAAGACGAGGTTTCCGCACACACACACACACGCACACACACACACACACACACACACACACACACACACACACGCACACACACACACACACACACACACACGCACGCACACACGCACACACACACACATACAGATTAGTAGAAAGAACATGGTTACGGGAGGAGAGTAAAAGTACGTAATACACACCTCCCTTCACACACTCAATGGCACCCTTCTCAGTTTGTAAATCCTCTTCCAGGAGAATCTTTTACCGCAGTAACATGCTAAACACACCTGCTTAAGCTAAATGGAATATACAGTGCATAGTTTACAAAGCCAGAACTTATCAGAGTTTAAATCTATACAGGCATATCTATACAATAAAAGTTATAATCATAAAAAAGTTGTTTTTTTGTTCCCTCATTCATCTGTCAAGTTCTCCTTTGTTCTAACTTTTGTTGATCTCTGCTATTCAATGAGAAGACGGGTTTGAAGGGATGAGCACAGGGGAAAAAAACATCTGGAAGGTTTCCTTTTGGTAGGCTTTGTTTTCTATTTAGCTCCTGTTTGTTTTATTTTTTTAGAATATATGTTTCTCTATATTCACGAAGAATGTGTTTGTTTACCAACTCCCTTCTGGTGGCGGAGGATGAGACGGAAAGTGCTAACTGATGGTGCGATTTGTTCCTTGGGCTCAGTCAATGACTTTTTTTTTTTCTTTTGACGTGTGGAAATTGTTTTGTCTGTGTGATACATGATCGGAGACGGTTCGATCCAAACGAATGTGCCGTAATAAAATACATTGTGTCTTTGTTCGGGCTCTGTTCTGGAGACAGTGTTGTCCCTGATGGAGGAGTTTGGACTCTCTGGAGGGAAGACGCGCCACGTCCCTCTGCCTGCCGGCGTTCAGAAGCCCGGGCTGTCGTAGCTGCTGCGGCTGTAGTAGCTGTGGTGGCTGCGGGAGCGGCTCCTGCTTCGGCTCCAGCTCCGGCTGCGGCTTTTGCTGCGACTCCGGCTCCAGTTGCGGCTCCGGCTGTGGCTCTGGCTTCTGGTGCGGCTGTAGCTGCTGTAGCTGCTGTAGCTGCGGCTGCGGCTGGACCGGGACGGGCTGCTGTCGTAGCTCGACGACGACGGACTGGGCCGGTAGTACGGGATCGGCCGCTTCCGAGCGCTGGTGCGGAGGGGAGGAGGGGCGGGGACAGAGACGTCAGACAAAGACAGCAGTGTGACAAGTTAGAATGAGGGAGGTGTTAGGATATTAAGATGATCAGGCTGTTATCTGCGACGTGATGCTTTAGAGACAAGATCAGCAAGTCAAAGTTAGACCCCAGAAGCGGTAAACGAGTGCAATTTCTAGAAGAGATGAGCTTTGTGGGTTATAAAAAGCCGATCATCCACACACTCAGCAGCAGGAAAATGCATCGTGTTAGTTAAAGCTTGAATAGATCGAGTTGTTAATTGATTTCCTGTAAGGTAATCAGCTGTTATCGCCCCAAAGAACCGCCTGTCTGTCTCCATCACCCAAACAGATCAACACCACGGGACGGATAAATGCTACCAAGGGGACACACAACATGTCTGCCCCTCCATTTCATTCCAGCAGAACTGTGGAGTTCATTTTAGTTACAGGTGGAGCATTCACTCCTGACTCAAACGATCCGATCGGAAACTGGAAATGCTGATAACACTTTTCAGTGTGGAAGTTCTTACTGAAGCTTGACGACTTAAAGCGGTCTGTTTTTAAATATCAGGTTCTTTAAGACGCTTTTAGAGTTGTAATAGGGTTGTTGATAGGCTGTTATGTTAAAACAAGGATGAACATAACATTGTTTTTTTTTCATTCCAGCTTCAAATTTGTTTTGACAGAAAATGCAGACAGCGTTCTGTATTATCTGGTAAGCACACACACAGTCCAGTTAGTTATGCTAATTGGGCTAGTAGTGCTAACATGTACTAAAGCAGCTTACAATGTCAATTTAGTAATTATTTTGTATTTTTTATAAAATAAAATCTCCTTTTAACTGCACATGTATGATATGATGTCAGGCATTTTCAATAAAATATTTGACTAATTATTGTACTGTCAATAATAACTAAAATAATTACATTTTCAATTAAAGCCAGATTGTTTTTTTTTGTTTGTTGTTTTTATTTATTTATTATATTGTAAATGTAGTTCCTCACAATATTCCAGAAGATCTGAAATATTTAACTGCACAGAATCTTTGGTTGGTGCATATCCGAATTAGACATGGATGTTTGCTGAACAGGGTTCAGACTAACATTCGTTTGCAGTTTATTAATGTGAAAATATTGCAACAAATAGCTAACAGAATGAACTCAGAAGCATTTTCAACTGTTTTTAATTGCCTGTCGTTTTATATTAACTCCTGAGTTTGACAACATTACACATTTATGGGAAAAGTCCAGGCAGTTCTGTGGTTTGAAGGAGTTTATGTCGGGTCAGAAGATTTTAAGAGGAATCATAAAATAAACGTTCAACAGAACCTTCATCTTCTGAGTAAATAGACCTTGATAGCATTTTAATGTTTGCGTCCCTGCGCTGCAGCATTAGTGCGTGATGTCAGTGGGGTGTAGCGTCAGAACCGAACTGTGAGTTTCAGAGATGTGATGAAGAAAAAGAGGAAGGACAAAGAAAAAAAAAATAAAAATACAAGATGAGTCCAGGTTTACTCAGGGGAGCTCTGATGGTTTGATGTTCAGCTGAGCTTCAGGGGTCAGACTAGCAGGGCTCTGCTGCACAGCAACTGTTACCAGGGCAACAAGCCTGCGGCATTTGAATTCAGCAGCATCCCGTTGTCTCCGTGCGAGGACCTTTAGGACTGAAGCAAACATGACAAGGTACACTCATTTCACTCATTAAGTCCGTTAACGCTTTCACATGAACAGGGAGAGAAACAGCAAAGTGGATTTAACAGAAGTGGGGGAATCTTCCTTTCTTCCTGCACAAATAACCGATTACAAGAAACGATACAATAAGTAGGACTTATGAGAATGAACAAAAGAATACTTTAAAGCAGTGGTTTCCAAACATTTTCTGCGCCCCCCATGGATTACAAATGGCTGTTTGGTTGAAACGATGCGTGTGAGGGGGGGGGGGGTGGCATCGACTTCTTTTGGGGAAAAATGAATGTACGTAGCTGAAAACAGACACCAACATCGGTAGCCTACAAGGTACTTGTTAAGCTTAAGGTTCTGTATTGATATTAGCTAGTCATCTTTTAGCTAACATTACCTGCATTCAACAGCTTTACTCAACTCAGTCGGTTAGTTTGGAGGGAAAAACTGTGAAAAGTTCTTTGCGTTTTGCTGGTTTGCTGCCGTGATTCTAACACAAACCTACGTAGCTCCGCCCAGCAGCAGCAGGTCTCCTTCACAGGTGGAAACTCAGCGTCGTAGCGCTCATGTTGCGTTTAAAGG